AAAAAAAAAAAAATTAAAACCAAACCAGAGTGTCTCTTAGCTAAACAGATTTAACAGGGATAAAAAGACAAATGCCCAAAAAAGAAGTTCTTGACTCATCAACCTTAAAATTCTGGCAGTAAGTCGAGTTTATAAAGAACCAGAATTTATTTAAATTAAAAATAAAAAACAAAAGCCTCCACTGACTACATGCTATAGCCAAATTCACCAATCTGAATGCAACAGATAACAGGTTCAGACAAGTCTCTAGAAAATAACATAACAGAATAAACTTGACTTACTTCCTTGTATTAGTATCCTACCAGTTTTCAAAGAAAGTCACAGAAAAATTCTAGATACAAGGCCCAAGTTTTAAAATGATACACCACGTTTGTAGCTACCAAAATTTCTTCCCCTTCTGGCTACTATCAAATAAGCTAAATAGAGTTTTCATTTATTTCTTAATTAGAGAAATCAAAGTACTTTGAAGCAAAATTGTCAACAAAAATACTTAGCTTTCTGCTCAAGTTGAGGTTGCCTAATAGCTACCTGAAATGATCAGAAAAATCCTAGGATTCTCATAGGACAGTGTTTCTAAAAAACATAAAAATCAATGCTCAATTTTTAAATCAACTTCCTCGTTGCCAAAAGGTCAGTGTACAATTCAGAAACATGAATGGCATCAAATCCACATTTCAGGTGGAGAAACAGAAGGCAAAAAATAAATGGTCAGAACTTGCCCAAGGTCACAGGAATAATTAGCAAAACCAGAAGCAGACTCAGATTCTTAACATCAAGGAGAATGTTCTCTTCGTGACATTAATAACATGCATATGATTCCTTCTGTATAATTTAGACAATAAGGTCAGATCATGTGCATTTCTGAATTAAACAGACACTGCCTAACAGATAAATGCCCTTTGCAGAGCCAAATTATGCTTCAGCTTTTCTTTTAAAAGTATAAAATTCTTTCCATCACAATATCGAAAAGATAATTTAGATAGGAAAACAGAAAACAGTAATTTAATTAGTCTCATTAAAAATTTAACATTAGATTTCCTTTTATTCATTCTGAATTTTAAAACAACATGCTCACTTTTTTACCCCTTATATTCTTGTTTCCTTTTTAAAAAATGCCTAATAAATATGGGCATTTACAAAAGTATTCTTGTAAACACGGTAACAAAAGTGCGGTATTTACAATGAAATGCAAAATTTCCAGATTTCTTTAGAGTCTGAAGAAAAGAGTTGGGCTTTTGAAAGGAAAATGCTTGCAGACTGAGCTGGTCTAATGATAAACCAGGCATCATCCTTCAACAAATTAAGATGCATTAAATGGAAAAATATTGATAACACAGGCTACCTTTCCCACCTCAGACAATATATAATTCAACTAAAGCATTTGCCTTGTGGCAAAATAACAAGATTCTGTGAAATATTCTTAAAATCTCAGGAAGTCAAAAGTGTAAAGTAAAATAGTAGTGCATATAATTATTTATCTTTTTAAAGCTGACTAAGACAAACCATTAATCCAAGTTCAGCCTGTATATTACATTCTGATGTTAAATCTACATGCTCTTGAGGTTGTTAAGCTAAGTTTTAACATCTATCTTAATTTTGCCTTACAAATCAAGTATGATGTTTATCAAGGCCTGTAACCAGGTCCCTTAGGCTCCCGAACTTACCTGCTGAGTCTTCCAAATCAATCAGTTTGGGCATTAAGCTTTCAGGGAGTTTTTCTGGTAAGTCATAGCCATTCTTCCGAGCAACTACCAGATGAAAAGCAGCACAAAACTCATCCAGTGTCAATGCTCCATCTTTATCAAAGTCTGAAAGTTCCCTGGAACACAAACTTGCCATAAATATAATCATTTGCTCTGGATCCCTTTATGTCTCAAAAAGAAGAAAAAGAAATCTTTTTCCAGAAAAAGTACAATCCATAACCTAAAAAATCCCATAGATGGAAAAAGTATAATAGAGCAAATATAGCAAACTGTTTAACTGTGGAACCCAGGCAGTGGGCATATGAGTGTTCAAGGCACAGTTCTTTAACCTTTTCTGAATACTTGAAATTCTTACAATAAAATGCTGAAAAGCACCCTCAATACATAAGGTCACCAAAAAAAAGGACCTTTAATTCATATGCATTTTTAGTAACAGGATAAAGTCAGGCCCATTTAATACGTCACTGAAATTTTTAAAAACTTTGTTTTTATTGTTATCAAAGTTCTACAAAGTCCTACTGTACTTGGGGTGCATGAGCCATGGAGTCAGATAGTCCTCAGGAAGAAGGATGAGAAGTCTAAATGTTGGGATTGTGTTTGTCTCACAATCACCACAAAATAAAAGTGTAGAATATGAAAAAAAAAAAATAGCATTCAACAGACTACAAGGCTTGATATTAAAAAGCAGCAGAACCCCCCCTTTCCCTCAACTATTGTCCCACTTTCTAGATGCAGAGGCAACCATTTTGTAGTTAATGCCTGATACCATAAACAGCAAGTGTATATTGCCAGTTCTTGATTTTTCAATTTTAGGCATTATCTCTCTTCTGCTACAGCACTCAAAGCTACTAAAAACCCTACTAACAAAATAATTTAAAATATAAAGAAATAGATTGATATCGAGTAGAAATACCATTTATGCTTATATGATAATTGTTTTTAGAAAGTAACTTGTGGTTATAATTTGCTTTAAATAACTAATTCCAACTACATCACAGCTCTCGTGAGTCTTAGTATGGACTTAAATGGGAGCTAAGCAATGTTCTTAAGCACATGGCTTAGTATAGGTATAGGTAATACATAACAGGTATAGGCTTATTAAAAACCAAATGGGATAAAGATAACCATGGATGAAGCAACTAGCTTTTCTTCCATGCATTATGCTAAGCAAGAAGAAACAGCTAATATGGTTTAAACAGCTAATATGGCTTAACGAATTTTAGCACTTTAAAAAGAACTACTGTATTGGCATCATTTATTTCTTTTCCAGAGAGTGAGATAGAAACTGACTACTATTGGAAGGCACTACTGAGTTATTTGGGAACATTCTTGAAAAGATTACTCTAATAGTTTATTTTTTAAGGTTTAAAAATCGACCTGCTGGAAACTCCTTTGAAACAACCCACATTACCTGATTGATGTGAAGTACCACACTTACCAAATGTGAGAAAGTTCAAGAATAGGAAGTTTTGATTTTGTAAAAAACTCTTTAGCTGCAGATCCTGAAATGTTAAAACAGTGTTGTTTAATGTTATTCTGAACGTAGAGATCCAAGAATAAAGTGAGGGTAAGAGTCTTAAGGCTTTTTTCATTGGGAAAAAGGTACCCTTAACACGTGTGCACGTCATGTTTTTGTCTCCAGTGATTATCAGCTTTTTAGACACACAACTTGAGAACTGATTTTCTTTATAATCTCTGACCAATAAAAACCATGCCTTTGAGATTATGAAACTGAGACTTTGTCCTGTCCCATCTACAAGAATTTCTGTTTTTAACAACTCACCTGGAATAAATCCGTTTAGATCAGGCTGAATGGTTTTAAATTGATTTACATAATACTGTCTTTGTTCATCTGTTATTTTCCAAGGATCATCATAACTACTGGATTGCCTACGAATTTCATTGGCAGTTGTAGCTGATGCTACAGTTCGTACTGTTGTCTGGTCCTGTAATGAAACATTTTTTTCCTCAGTACATTTTCTATCTGTAATGATTATATGGGCCAAGATTGCTAGGTTACTCATCTTTGAAAATAAAACTTACTTTCTGTGAATGTTTAAAATACAAGAAGTCTTCACAAACTCATCAGCAAACCACGTATTTGTTATAATCAAGTTACTGAATGTTTCTGCACGATGATTATATAAGTGCGTAGAATGATAGCAATATGTAAGCAACAGAAAGTTATGAAAAACGTGCTAACAAAGCCAAGCAAATAGGAGATATTCTTAGGGGCAGACAACTTTCAAAATTTCACTGAATAATTAGAAAGAAAATCAGCCAAAACTTTTAGTGAAACATTCCAATGAGAAGAGACTTTAAGAAAAGGCACAGAGCAGAGTTCTGTGTTCTGTAAAAGGAGTGAACTTGCATTTATCAAGTGTGCCACAGCAAAATATGAAAACAATGACCACAGCAATACTCTGAATGAAGCAAATAAAAATGCAATACCAATAAAATGTCACACCTGGACAGAAGCAGGATGCATGGTTAAAAGAGTACTGGTTGGTGGAGTATCTGCAAAACTGACCCAGTTTTCTTGTGGTGGAGGTGGAGAGTGCCCTGACCACACTGCGTCACCCGCAGAAGAACCTAGGGGGAGAACGGTACACATGCCGACTCACTTTTGAAGAAAAGCCAACTGTTTTTAACCATAGGTTTTTAGTTGTAACTCACCACATACATATTATAGAAGTTTTCTTTCCAACTCTAACTCTGAAGAAATGTTAACAATTTCCAAACTGAATCTCTTCTGTCAGTTTAAAATTATATCTCAGGATACCTAGGTGGCTCAGTCAATTAAGTGTCCGACTCTTGATTTCAGCTCAGGTCATGATCTCACGGTTTGCGAGATCGAGGCCAGTGGGGCTCCGTGCTGATAGCACGGAGCCTGCGTGGGATTCTCTCTCACTCTTTGTCCCTATTCCCCCACCCCCCTCTCCATGCACACACATGCGCTCTCTCTCTCTCTCTCAAATAAAATAAAACAAAAAAAGAGCTTTAATAAAAAAATTGAAAATGAATAAAATTATACCTCATTGAAATTTTTTAAATTGTTACTGTGTGCTTTCCTTGTCAATACTGGAGCTAATGTAATATATACCTAATATTCTGGGAAGTTATTATTTACCCATTTCACCCTCAGAGCATCTGATATTTATCAACTTTGTCTAAGAATTATACGTATTATGTAAACGCAATTACCATTGTTTAAACTGATGTATCTGCCTACAAATTTTCATGGTTGGCTTTTGCTTCTAATTAAGGCACTTAATTTATAATTAAAATTATCTTGGAGGAAGCTCTGGAAAGAACATCATCAAGCTTCCTTTAATTTACAACCCTTAATAAATAACTGTCTTCTAAAGAATTTTAAAATACCTGATTGAGCTTCACCAAAGGGAGACCAAAATGGCCCAGGTCCTGTAAGTGGCCTCTCGCTATTTCCCCCACTGGGGTGACGGTTGTGCTTCCTCCATGTGTGTGGAGAAGTTGGTGGGGACTGCTGTGGTGAAACGACTGGGGATGCAGGTTCCTAGAAAGAATATTATTATTATTCTAAGACTTAAATTTTAATCAACAAGGCACTCAATAAGTTTTAATGTGAACATCTATACAGCACATCAACCGATAACGTTTACGTGCACATGATTACCTGCTGATCTGCAGACGTACGAGGCTGGACAGGGTCATGGCTTACAGATCCCTTTTTCACTTGCCCCCTGCCAGGTGGTGGGGGAATTACACCAGAATAAGACCCTTGATTTTCAGAATCTGAAGAATATGAGGCTGCATGGCGAGATTCCTGTTCATTCTTTGAAGCAACAAATCTCGGCAGAGGAAGGTCCTTCACTGTTAACCACAAAAATAATTATTACTTTAAAAGAAAAAGGGGCACACATTAAAACTGAAATATGAATTAGATATTAAAAAGAATCTTTGTAAAAACTGATACAGAAACCACAGACACATGTTTATCACTACATTTAGACCACCTCCCTTACACTGTTTAGGGAGACTCTAACCTAGAAAGTAGTAGCAACACTAAACTGACCTTCTAAAACTGTAATAACTGTCCTGTCTGGCTCTATGCTTGCAACTGAGGCTACCAGATGTCAAGGTCACTGATAGTAACTGACAGTTAGGATCTGAACCTAGGTCAGTCTGACCTGGAAGGCTAGGCTGTTTCTACTCATACTGATTCTCTTAAGTAAGATGCTAGAGCTGTAAGTAAAACATAGAAAATGTCACTGGATTGAGACTAGATTAATCTAGACATTTTCATGGCACAAGTTCCTGAAAATATTTTACTGTTCACCTGCCAACGACACAGCACAAGGCATCATATCTATCCGTTTTAGTCTGGCTTATGACACTTCTACAGCAAATATCCTACATTCAATTTTAAACAGAGAAGAAAGAAGACAGAACTTCTCTGCAGGTCAATCATAGCTCATACTTTTAGACTAGAACAAAACAGTAGCAGAATTTTTAACAGAAAGTACACTTCCCTCCACTATGATTATCTGCATCTGCCTTGAAACTCCACACTTAAACCAAGCTTATTCAGGATGTAAGTAAAAGAATTCAAAATTACCTGAAAAGAATATACACTCTCAATTCTAGAAGAATGATGTGTGGCAAACCAGAAGTCCACAATGAAAACCTCACACTGACCAATAAACTGAGCTGGTGCTTAAAACTATTTATAAAAACTCTAACATTACAGAAAACCTCAAGTGTTCTCTTTCCTCTTTTTGCTATGACAACCAAAGAACTGTCTGCATTTAAGTGCCTACCTTTACAGAATTTCCACTGACTTGGGCATCAATAAGCCTCCAAAGCATAAAAAAACAAATTATCCTAGGTGATACTTATAAGGCAGCCAGATGTCTGTAACCAGGTTTTAGTCTGCCGATATTTTAATATTGTCTCTATCAGAAAGTTTTGGTTAATAGTTTCTAATTTCAAGTGTATAGCTTTCCCACACAAAAACCCACAAGTATAATGCTATTTTATACTCAGCAGAAAAGAAGAATATAAGGAAGGCATATAAGAAAATGCTCACTACAATTCATCATTTACTTTGATAAAATTATTCACCTAACCTCTTTCTAAGCAATTTTTAGTGAATTAGTTCTGAAAAATCATCACTTTTAACAATTTTTATATTATCATCAAATATGTATTAAGTACATACACGCCATAACAGATTTAGGAAAGAGATATTTTTCTAATATTCGCAAATGAAAAAAAAAAGCATGGTAGTGAGATTAAAGCCATGACACTTAGGGTCACAAATGCCACTAAAATATCAAGAAGACTCAGCAATTCTACGGACTTTATTTCATTTCAGCTACTAATGTACTCCATATTTACCTGTATTTATACTTTCCACTCTTAAAGGAAAACCAGACTGGGCAACAGCTACAAGTTTCAAAGCAATGTAGAACTGACTTCTTCCAAAATAACCAAGCCTCGTTGCACCACAAAGCTCCATAATCTGTAAGAGAACACAATGTTAAATACTAATGACAATAATCCTCCAAATAAACAGGTATCTAACATCTGTTTGTAACTTCTCCAAAATACATAGCTGACACATAGCATATTACACTTACTGACAACCAACTTCCTCGGGTTTCAGTCTTAGAAGTCTGAAAATAAAGCACTGACCTTACGATTATGAGGGTTATATAGTTCCCCTATTTATGTATTTATTTTTAATGTTTTTGAATGTTTATTTGGGGGGGAGGGGGCAGAGAGAGAAGGAGACAGAATCTGAAGCAGGTTCCAGGCTTCGAGCTGTCAGCACAGAGTCCGACACGGGGCCCGAACTCACAAACTGCGAGATCATGACCTGAGCCGAAGTTGGTAGCCTAACTGACTGAGCCACCCAGGTGCCCCAATAGTTCTCCTATTTAGAAAAATCTATGTGATACACAATTTTATTTTATTAGAATTACTGTGTTTGCTCAAGAGTCACATTTTTCAGAAACCAGGCACCATCCACTCTTCATACACACTGTACATGCAACAGGGCCAAAAGTCCCTGCAACTAAAAGATTACTATGCAGCCAGTTAAAGTAACAGTCATAAAATGACACAGTAAGTGGAAAAAAAAAGCAGGATATGTAATTTTAACCACATAAACACAAATCTGAAAAGAACCAGATATATAAAAACTCTATCGGCAGTTTTGTCAGGGGAGATCAAGAGTAGGGTTTTTTTCTCTAATTTCCCAGATTGTATTTAATTGTGGTTATATTACTTTTCTTTAAAAAAATTTTGTTTGCTTTGTTTTTTTTTAAAGCATGAAGGTCTTCAAGGATCGCCACTGACCATTAGGTCATTCAACAAGTATTTCTAGACTAGTTACAAGTTAAGTATCCGACTAGAAAGAGAATTTTAGGTTATGAGATTTAATTACAACTCCAAAAGCTGGAGTAATGTCTACTGTACAGACATTATACTCTTAAAATAAAATAAGCATTAAGTATCCTTGTCTCACCTTCTCAAAAGATACACATTCCACACTCCTGTGGAGCATATTTGGTCTATTTTCTTTTTTCCTGAAACACTCAAAGACGAAGGTACCTAGTCGTTACGGGTGAAGTCGGAAGTATTTATTAGAATTGCAAAATAAGCACCTACAACAGTTCAGCAATGTGTCAAATCACAATAACAATTTGTTTAAGCACACAAGAAGACATTTTTCGTGTGATTGATCAGCAATGGAGGAAGTTCCTGATTCTGCCACAAAGGGGCATCACTTCTGTATAAATTTAAAAGGGCAAGGAGGATAAGGAGGCAGATTCATATCAGCTATGAGGAAAAGAAAGAGTTGAGAAGGCCACACAAGCCTTGAAAGATACGCAGGCATTTTGTTAGGATCACCACCCCTATCCATTATCCTTTTCTGCCCACGTGCCATCCTGTAAGGGATCATTACAGATCTTAGCTACTTTTGCTTATAAAACAAACGTAAAACATCTAAAATACGTCCTTGTACGTATGCTAGGTAAAGGGACGACCTAAAAGGAAATTGCATGTAGTTGGTTTGTTTATCCCTGTTATGTGCGTTTCAGGTGCCCATGGGACAATCAGGAGGAGATGCCCAGGGAACAGTAAGAAATGCAGGGAGGGTGTTCAGAAGACAGCACTCTGCCGAGATGTGCTCCACACCTGGGAACCAGACAACAGGTGATGACTGAAGCTGAGGGAGTAAATGAATGAGACTGCCTGCAAGCCCAGAGCCGCGAAAGGGAACTCTGGAGAACACCATAACCTAAGTGTAGGCATAAAAAAGAGCCTACGAAAGAAGCAGTAGCAAAAAGGACCAGCAGAAGGAGGAAATCAAGGGTGTAAAGAGGTTTTGGAAGGTGGAAGCAAGCCTGAAAGAAAATCATTACTGCACATACAGATTCATGTACAAAGGGGTTCACAATGAAAAGCAACCTAAACTCACCACAAGAACTGATTATGAAGTAACTATATAATGAGAAAACCGTACATTTAAAACCCATTGCTTACAGTATTGTTTTGAAAACAAAAAGGAAGATACAAAGCAGTGTATATAGAAGTATAATCCCAAATATATTAAGATACGTACATATAAATGGTAGTGAACATGCCAGTGATTATTTCTGGGTGCTGAGAATAAGGGATATTTCTATGTTTTCTTTACATAAGTCTGTATTTACTAGTAAAAATATTTAATTTCTTTAAATCAGAAGAGTGATAGATACTTTTCAAAAAAGAAAACTAATGGGAACAAATCAAAAAGGAAAGAAAACGCATTCGATATTTTGCAATTAGGAGGTTTTTTGCTGCTGGAGCACTAGTAGAGATGCAGTAGGGTAAAATTTCGTTTGTAATGGATTAAGGAATTAACAGGAGGAATGTGAGTAGAAAGACAAGTACAAAAACAGGTTAGGATGCTTGACTCTCAAAGAAAGTGTTTAGAAGGGTAATCTTGTTTCTTCTCCTAAGTCTCAGGGCTAGTCAGTGGAAGAACTGGCTCTAGAAGCCAGGTCCTTGGATTCCAAACCCAAAGCTCTTTCCAAGGGACTAGAGGGTAGTGGGGGGAGGAGGGAGGGGCTGGAGGGTAGGAGAGCAAGGAAGGATTCTACCTTTCTACAATATCAGGCATAACAAAATTTTAAGAGTTGATATATATCAAACTGTCCCATCAGGTTGCAGGAAGGAGGTTTTAAAAGGGGAGATAAAAGAGCTCAAAGGCAAAATATTTGCAGTCACTTCCCTATGATTGATCCTGGCCACGACACCTAAAACAAACTCACTTTGTAGCCCAAGTCAGGCATATGTGTCACTGAGGACTATGTTTCCAAGCTACCCCAATTGGAGAGACCACAAATCCTTGAAAGCAGCAGAGGAGGAAAGAAGCTGTGAATACAAATTTGTTAACAATCTCTGATGAAACAGTATCAGGTCCGGTTTCCCATCACAATCTTGTGAATGCAACAAAATTTGTCTCTAAAGAAATTTTTGGAATAATTCCTAGAAGCAGAATGCTGGACCAAAATATAAGTACACTTAAAAATGCATTTGTGGGGTGCATGGGTGGCTCAGTCGGTTGGTTTTGGCTCAGGTCATGATCCCAGGGTCGTGGGATCGAGCCCCCATGTCTGGCTCTGCGTTGAGTGTGGAGCCTGCTTAAGATTCTCTCTGTCTCTGTCTCTCTCTGTGCCCCTCTCCCCAGCTGTGCTCTTTCCCTCTCTCTCTTAAAAAGATAAAAAAATGCATTTGCTATCACCAAGTGCCTTTCAAAAAGGTTACTCAAATTTATTCTCCCACTATCAATATGAGAGTGTTTCCTTATCTCCTTTTCTCCAGTAACCTGAAAAGGCCACTCACACTTACATGAATTTTTTTCTGACTGCTTTCCTTGCTTTAGATTTATAATATTTAAATACCTGATAGAGTTATTAGCCCAGTCCTCAATTTTTTTTCTCGTTTAGAATTTCCTGGACTATTCTCATATTATTTATTCCCCCAGGTAATCTCTAGAATCATTTATCAAAATAAATTGTGACTTTAATTGGAATGGTATTTTATTGATCATCTTTTTCCTAACTTCAACGACACCACTTCTAGTATTTTGTCATTAAGCATGGTACTAGCTAACATTCTGCAACACCTTTGTTATGTGAAACTATTCAGCTAGTTCCACTCATCTAAGAGTTTTGTTTCAGGTTTTGTGTTTTCAAAATCCACAAACAGAAGTTAATATTATTGTGTGCATTTTGGGGCAGAAAAGTAAAATATCATAATTTTTCTCTTTGGTCCATTAATGCTAATAATTGAGTTCCTAACATCAAACCATCCTTTGATCCCTAAAATGAATTCCATTTAGTCATGGTATATATTATTTTTCAAATTATATTTATAAAATTTTAACCACAATCTTAAAATGATTTGGCCAAAAAATAACACTCCTGTATCTGAAAGGTTTGGAAGTGGTGCTATGTTGGCTTTGTAAACACGACTAACAAGCTTTACTTTTTTTTCTCTCTGCTCTGAAATACTGTAAATAGATTTGGAATGACATGTTCTGTAAAGATTTGGAAGAATCTTTACTAAACATTTGGTACTAAAACATTTGGTAATTGGGGCATCTGGGTGGCTCAGTCGGTTGAATGTCTGACTCTTGATTTTGGCTCAGGTCATGATCTCACAGGGTTGTGAGATCGAGCCCTAAATCGGGCTCCGTGCTGATAGTGCAAAGCCAGCTTGGGATTCTCTCTCCCTTTCTCTCTTTCTGCCCCTCCCTGGCTGGCTCTCACTTGCTCTCTCTTTTTTTTTTTTAAATTTTTTTTTTTTCAACATTTATTTATTTTTGGGACAGAGAGAGACAGAGCATGAACGGGGGAGGGGCAGAGAGAGAGGGAGTTACAGAATTTGAAACAGGCTCCAGGCTCTGAGCCATCAGCCCAGAGCCTGACGCGGGGCTCGAACTCCCGGACCGCGAGATCGTGACCTGGCTGAAGTCGGACGCTTAACCGACTGCGCCACCCAGGCGCCCCTCTCTCTTTCTAAATAAACAAACAAACATTTTTAAAAGGTAAAACATTTGATAATTTCTGGGAACATCATTTATCGCCTCCAAATTTTGAAATTTATTAGTCTGGCATTATTCAAAGTAGTCTCATTCTTTTAATTGCCTCTCCGCGGTAATTTCGCCTTAGTCTAAATTATGCATATATGTGAGCATGACTGCACAGCTGCCTAATATTGAGAACCACTTAAAGTCCTTGATAGGGTACAGATACCCAGATCTCTTCCATTAGATCCTAACTCACCTAAGAAACCCAGGGCCAGTTAGTAGTTGCTATTCTACTACTGCCAGCTACTGAAAACCATTAAGCTTTATTTTCATAACATTGTAAAATTTACGTGCTCATAGTAAAATAAATAAAATGGTACTTAAAGATATGGAATTGAAGTCCCTACAATCCCCATCAGAAGTAACAATTCTTTTCA